CATAGCATGTGACTGTACCCTTGCTGCGCTGGGCTACGATGGCTTCCACGTAGAGCTTCAGCATGGCGACCCGCTCTTTCTTAGCCGGGCTGTGCTTGGCATGGTAGAGCAGGTACCTCCACGCCGTGGCCAGGCTTTGCTCGTGTATCAGCGTATGTAGTGCGACATCTGCGCGCTTTCGCACCACAGCACACAGCACGACACACGACACACAGACACACGACACACGACACACAACACACAACACACAACACAGCAGCAAACACACACGGCACACACGGCACACACGGCACACATCAGCAAAAGGTCAAAAGGTGGTTCATGCTAAGCTGGAGAGACCTTGTTTAAAGAGGTTCATGAGTGCAGTGAACTGGAACCTCGAGCTGAAGAGCGACTGGAGCGCAGAATTGATGAATGTCGTGATGGCGTGCGGCAGCTTGTGTTCCACCATCACCAGCGCTCCTTCGCCTGTGCCGTGTGTTGGGAGTCGAGTCGTGCGTCAGCCGCAGCACCAAGACGAGCCTAATTACAGCTGGATCCGCACCTGAACGTGCGAGTTCTTGAAAGTACAGAGACACGCTGCACTTGGCATAGCCGTAATTGGGCGAGCGCACCTGCCCAACACGACGCACACAGCACACGCACACACGACACACACGACACACACGACACACACGACACACACGACACACACGACAGCACACGACACACACGACACACACGAGATCGCCAACATGCGAAGGCTTTGTTGAGTGAATCGCACATGGTTGGTTACACATAACAGCCTAAGTTGTGGCGGCACCTTCAGAAGCTCGACCACGGTGTGGAGGAGGTTGTCGCACGCGGCAATGCGGTGGAGGTATTCGACGTTGTGCGTGAAACCGTGGCCGAGCGCACCGCACGCCCAGCGAAACCGCATCCAATTCGTCGCCAGGAAGGGCGTGTTGCCGATGAACCGCGCCAGCGCCTCGATGACGCCCTTGTCCACCAGCAGGTTCCTGTTCTGCAGGCTGGCTGTGTGTAGTGCGTGCCTTAATAACACGACACACGCGGCACGCGCGACACACACGGCACACACACACACACACGTCACGCGGCACAAACTTGGAGTCAATTCGAGGCTGGCGGTACCGTATTGCGAGTGATGGATGGCCTTGAGGGCCTTCTTCTGTGCCAGGCGGTGGTCGCTGGCTACCATCGCCACCAGGCACTCGGCCAGCTGCTCGCCCAACGTCGTCCGTTTATCTGTAGAAAGCGAGAAGAAATAGAAATACACACCACATGAAAAGAGTGCAACGTAACAAAACACGAGAGCGAGTGTACCGTGGTTCACAACGAGTCCGACGACGCCTGCGGCGTGGGCTCGAACCTCGGCGCTGTAGCGCGGGCTGAGCACGGCTGCGGAGAGCACCGACAGCGCCTCGGCCTTGATTACTGCGTCCGCCTGCCAGCCTGTGGACACAGTATATTAATTAGTAATAAATAAATAGATAAATAGATAATAAAAGTAATAAAAGTCGTAATGTGTGTGCCTTTGGTGTTGGCACAGAGTTTGTTGAGGGCGCGGAGGCTGGTGAGGAGGTCGCCCTCGCCTGCCTCTGTCAGCGGCCCGGTGGCCTGATTGGCCGTGAGCACTCGGTGCAGGACCTGGCGTACCTCGTCACCCATCACCTCAACCTCTGCTTACTTCTCTCAGCTCTCAGCTCGTTCGTTTGCCAAAGGTGCTTGACGTCCCGAAGCACAAGTTGGAAGATGCAGACGAAGGAGGTGGTTGCTTGTGCGAAACAAATGTCAAAGAATTCTGAAGAAGAATAAGAAGAATAATAAAAAAAGAAAAAAGAAAGGGTAAAGAAATACAAAAAGGCGGGAACACACAAATCCCATCACGCCAGCTTTGAGATCCTTCGCATCCATTCACGCACACATGAACGCGAAACCGACGCAAGCGCGAGAAACGCTCGATGGTGCGCCAATTTCTCTCCAATTTTGCTTTCCTCTTGTAATCTTGTAGAGAGATTGCTTCCTTATTGGAGACCACTCGCAGCGTTGCACGAAGTGTCGCGCATGCTCAACACCGGGCTCGACAAGGAAACGTTGGGTCTGCTGGTCGCGCTCTGCGAGGCGGGCGTGAATCCAGAAGCTCTCGCCCACGGCATTCGAGAACTGCATCGCACCGGCGAAGGCGGCTCCGGCACCACCAAGCAATAAGCGCTATCCCTCATCGCCATGTACATACAACAATGAACCTCAACTCAAGTGCCACCTGCCATCAACCCAACCGTGCCTTGCGTTGTTGACGTCAACAACCACACCGTTATTTATTGTTTTTTTATTGCGAATTGTATTTGCATCAAAACACGCCTGGCAGCAGACATCAGATGGAGGGAGGGCAGGCACGGGGCGGTGGAGTGACGGGGATGTCGGTGGGCGAGGGAGTGGCCCTCATGGCGGGTGTGGCGATCGCTGCCGCGGGCTACGTCTGGTGGTTCAATCGCAAAAGCACACCAACAACGGAGCGCCAAAGATCATCGCCCGCGATTTCGGCTGCACCAACACCAACACCCAAACAACAGGTCAAGGTGTGCAAGTCGTGTGGAAAGACTGAATCGGGGGACCGCGCCCTCGTCCGGTACCATTTTCAAATTTCGTGGAATCTCAGATGCTTGATGCTGTATGATGCCATCGTGATTGTGATGTCTTACCACCATTGGCAACCTGCACGCATCAGCTGCGGACGCTGCCACAAGGTGTATTACTGCTCCCGCGACTGCCAGCGGCAGGACTGGGGTCGCCACAAGCCCGAGTGCAGCTCTTCGGACTCTGCAGCGGCCCCGAAGAAGACACCGCCGCCCGAGCCACTGCCCGGTATCTCTCTCTCTCTCGCAGTTGTTGTGGCCTATGCTCACCACCTTGCCGCCCTCCACGCGTGTGTTATGGGGAAACGTCACTGTTTAGCTTGGGCGCAGAACTTGCGGCTGACAAGTGCCGAGTACGCCAATGTGAAGGCTCTGCTCAAGAAGAACGATGAACAGTTTGAACTGTACGTACAGACACGTGTGCGCGTTCGCGGCATCTTCGGGGCTGCTCTTCACATGCGACGATTTGATGCTCTCCACCACCGGTTGTGGCTGATACAATACCATGATGCGTGGCAGACACTTGCGTGGCGGCCCGAAGCCTGACTCTGTGGATGACATCTGGGAAGGGCTGGAGCCGCAGGAGATGCAGCAGCTCATTGAAGACACTATCTGGTACCACAGACGCACGACACACACACACAACCCTCTCTTCACGTCGTGACCCTAGATTGCGCGATCACACAGGTACAAAGAATTCTACAAGACGAATGATGCCTCGAACGTCTTGTCCCTGCTTCGTCGCCTGGCCTCCGTACAATTCTGGGGCAGTTCTCCCGTCGCGGTTTTTGCCCCTCCCCCACCTTTGTTTTTGTTTTATTTATTTATATTTGTAATTATTTCATTTGTTATTTATTTACATTTATATATTTATATATTTTTGGTTTTGTTGTCTGCAGGTGGCCTTTTTCTGCCTGGTGTTCAGCAAGCAGTCGGAGGAGACCCTGCGATCGTGGGTCGACCAGTGCGCGACGGAGCTGGCCCAGGACGGCTGGTTCCGCTCGGCATTCCTCACGTTCCTTCGCTACGCCGACACGCCCGCCAGCCGGGCGTGCTACCAGCCCGTGCTCGCACTGCTCTCCTCCGCCGTAGACCAGCTCGAAGCGCAGTCCATGCTCTCGCTGACCATCCCCGACTTCGTAGCCCGTCCGCTGCACGAGCCGCTTCACTCACGTACGCACCACACCACACGCACGACACGCACGGCACACACGTGGGCAACTAACATACGGAGCCGCACAATACAGCGGAGGCGGTGGACCACATGTGGGCCAACTACTTCGCCACGGGCAACGTGGCGCTGCTCAAGAAGATCATCAAGGAGGCACTCCCGCTGGCCGCGCAAGCACGCGTCGCCTCCAACCCCGTGAACGCCCAGCTCCTCATGCAGACATGCAACTTTGCCGCCGTCACGCTGGTCAACGAAGGTACACACCACGCACGCACGCACGCACGCACACGACACACACACGACACACACACGACCCACACACACGACCCACACACACGACCCACACGCACGCACAACACACACATGACTAAGTGTTGACACTCTTGTGTGCGCGTCGCAGGAATTTTTGACGAGCAGGTGCGAAACGTCTGCAAGAGCGAGCGGGACGCCCTTACGAGCGGGACCGGGCAGCAGAATCTCGGCCTGATGCAGATGCTCCAGCAGATCATGATGCAGCAGGAGGGCAGCATCCAGCAGCTCGCCACCATTCCCGCAGGTTCGTCTCACGCACACGCACACGCACCATCGCACACGCACACGACCAACAACACGACACACGCGCTCATGTGTGCGTGTGCGACGATACAGAGGAGGTGAGCCGGATGCGGGTGGAGGTGGAGGGTCATCGGCCGTTCCTGGAGCGCATGCGGGAGATCAAGCACCGACAGAAGGTGGCGCGGCTCAAGCAGATGCCCGGCGTGCGCACCGTGCCGACCCAGTTCGGGAATGCCCTGTGGCTGCCGGCCACCACCGACCACCCCGAGGGCCTCCTCTTCATGACCATGGAGGGCGAGAGCGGAGCACACTAACCACCGCCACTACCAACAAACACACACTTCCTATCCTCAAATCGCACGACACGCACACGACGCACCGCACCGCACACACGCACCGCACCGCACGACACGACACGCACTGGTTGCTGTACATTCTATTGGCTCTTGGGCGTGCCTAAGGCTTGGCCACACTTCGCATGAGGGCCTGCAGGTCAGAGTCGAAGACCAGCGGCTTTGGGGCCGCCACGGATGAAGAAGAAGACGAAGATGCGTAGGTGCGGGCCTTGGTGGTGGTGGTGGGCGGCTTCTTCGCCTTCGTCTTCTGCTGCTCGGTCGTCGCCTTCCGGTGCTTGAGGCTGGCCATGGCGGCGCGCTGGATCGCCTGGTCTTCTTCGTCGTTGTCGTCCACTCCACCAACTGCCGGCCGCTTCTCTTCTTCACCACCCGGCGGCGGCGCGAAGCCACCGCGCATCATGTTGTCGAACTCGTTGGCGTTCAGCGTCCCTGTTGTAGATGTCGTTGCCACCGCACACGACACACGGCACTCAGCACCACCGCACACGCACACCCACAGGCACGCGCGCGCTGGTGGTGTGGGAGCGAACCTGGAAGAGCGCTGACGCCGCGATTGAACACCGAGTAGGCGCTGACCCGCTCGCCGTCGGTTGCAGCAGACGACGACATGCTGTCCCACACCCAGTAGAAGCAGCTCGCGATGAAGAACACCAGCCCAAACTCGAGCCTGTCACAGGCAGATGAATGGAGTACATGGAGTGGTGGGTGGTTATTTGTTTGGCCCAGGTCATGGCACACGAAGGCAGGGCAGGGGGTGGGGCCTACCTGTAGAAGATGACCTGCAGGATGGCCCAGACGACCAGCTTGGCAAGCGTAGTGGGTCGCACGTAGCGCCACACCCCACCTGCCTCGTCAGCAGCTGGTGCTGCCGCCGCAGCGGCCCCATCTGTCGGGGCGCCGCGTGGGCGATCCTTCCTTGACGCCATCTCAGCCAAATCAACGAATAAACAATAAATAATAATCAATAAATAATAATAACAGAATAAATGGCAGGTGGAGGCTGACGTGGCAGAGGCTCAGGGAAAGGCGAAGCGGGGAGATCCGTGTAGAGCGAATAGAGTGCATCAAAACAAACAAGCAACACACGCCACATGTCGAACGTACGGAGCCTGAATGATCTGAAAGGTGCCCCTTCATCTATGGCTACACCGCACTGGATGTTGCAATCTCGATGCTGATGCTTTCATCTTCTTGGTGCAGGTGGTGAGGGACCTCCTGGCGCAGGAGGTGGTCACGGACCTCCCTCGGGACCTCCTGGTGGCGGTGGTGGTGGCGGTGGTGGCGGGTTCCCCTTCGACCTGGGGGCGCTGCTGGGCGGGCTGGGCGGGCTGGGCGGTGGTGGCCGCGGCGGTCGTGGGGGTGGCGGCGGGCACGGCCGGGTGAAGGTGATCGGCAGCAAGCAGGAGTTCAAGGCCGAGCTCAGCGCCCACCCGCGGGGCCTCGTCGTAGTTGACTTCTCCGCCACCTGGTGCGGGCCGTGCCAGGTACTGTGTTGTGTGTGTGGCGCGTGCGTGTGTCTTTGCTCATGACGTGTGTCGTGCTATCTAGAGAATGGCTCCGCTCTACGCCGAGTTCAGCACCACCTACCCCAACGTCCGCTTCCTCGAGGTACCGCTCCCAGTACTTCACCGTGTGCGTGTGCGGTGTGTGCGTGTGCGGTCGTATATGTGCGTGTGCACATCTGACCATCGGCGATCGCGAACGCAGGTGGACGTGGACCGGGTACCCGATGTGGCGCAGGAGTGCGGGGTGACGGCCATGCCCACCTTCCACTTCTACCAGGGCGGCCGCAAGGTGGACGAGCTGCGCGGCGCCGATCCCAACCGGCTGCAGGACCTCATCAAGCGCCACGGCGCCACCTCGACCCTCTCTGGCGGCGGTGGCGGCGGCGGCAGCGACGGCTTTGGCGGCGGAGGCTCGGGCTACCGCCTGGGCGGCGGCGGCGATGGCGATGGCGGCGCAACCACTGCGGCGCCTGCGGTGAGCCGCGGTGGGGGTAGAGGCGCGCAACGGACTGGCGACGCGGAGGCGGTGGTGCAGTCGGTGATGGGCCTGGGCTTCTCGCGCGGGGCCGCGCTGGCGGGCATCCAGGCCACGGGCACGACCGAGCTCGAGAGCGTCGTGGACTGGGTGCTCCAGAACCGGTCGCTCGCGGATACCCCCGAAGAGGAGAGAGGCAGCGGTGGTGGAGGTGAGGAGGAGCCCAACACGACCTCGGCTCCTTCCGCACAGCCTGTCGCCACCGCTGCTGCGAGTGGTCCCAAGACCACGCTGGCCATCAGGTACACGCACACGCCGCACACGCCGCACACACACACACGCCACACGTGCGCTGCACAACAAAAGAGCCGTGATTGAGCCTTGGCCGTGCTGTGCTTTCTCTGTGCGGCAGGCTCACGGACGGCTCCACGCTCAAGCACGAATTTAACGGTGGAGACAGACTGCTGGCTGTGCACGACTTCATTGCCAGGCACCGAACCGACGGGTACACCGCTGCCTTGCACGAAACTCGACACACGACACCCGACGTATGACACGCAGCACACGCACTAACTTCACTCTCTGGGGGGGGAGGTGCAGGAGTGCGGGCTTCGATCTGATGACGCCCTACCCACGCAAGATCTTTGGCGCAGCTGACCTTGACCGCACGCTGGCCGAGCTCGACCTCGTGCCCAACGCCAACCTCATTCTGCACAAGAAGTAGTCGTGGTGTCGATTGGTGGTTCGCTGCTTGAAGGTTCTCGAAATGGTACATCATCTATTCTTGCTTTACGCTTGCCAGCTCAGGGGGGGTCTCGTTGATGCTCTGGTGGTGGTAGTGGTGCGTTGTTCAAGTGGAGGCGAGCCAGCTGAGACCCTCATAGAGTCCCACTTGGGTGATGGCGCAGCATGGCTGGAAGTGCCACTTGCGCCCTCTGATCTGTGGTGATGGCCATCGTGACGATGATGAAGAAGAAGAGTCATCATGGGTGCTGTGAGCGGTAGTGTCATGAGAGAGAGAGAGAGCCAGAGGGAGAGGGGCAACCTGATGCAAGTCCATCTGTTCTGTGGCCTCGGCAATGGAGAGAGCGCGAGGCAGGTCGATCTTGTTGCCGTAGAGCAGCAGTGGCAGGCCCTGGCCCAGAGTGGAGCCGCATACACGTTGTGAGATGAGTTGCCAGTTAGATCTCTCCTTGAGGAAGAAGAGGAGGAAGGGTGTGTGTGTGAGAGAGAGGGCTCGACGAGTGGAGCGTACCCTGAGTTGGTCCTCGCTCATAAACTTGAAGAGTTCGTGGGCAGTCTCGCTCATTCGTTCTCGGTCGTTGAGGTCAACAACCCAGATGATGGCGTCAATCCCCTGCGAGCAGATGAAGAGAAAGCTGTCACTCTCACTTTGCCCGTGTGCAGCGTCACATGCGTGTGTGGACGCAGTTGAACTTCATTGCCAAGAGGCTCGGCTCACCTGAAAGTAGTGGCGCCAGAGTGGGCGAATCTTGTCTGGGCCGCCCACGTCCCTAATGAGAGCGGTGAGCGAGGCACGCACAAGTATCGATCGGTAAAGAAGTAGGTAACAACATTCGTACCAGCAGGTAAGCGACAGCTTGCCCTTGGCGGCGTGCTCGACATTGAATCCGATGCAGGGCATGGTCGGCTTCGGCTCCGTCTCCAGAGCGTAGAGCATGGTCGTCTTGCCTGTGTTGGTACGGAGCACCAACCAGTGCCATCAGCACATCTACCAAGAAATAGGCCGTCACACGACGACACGACCAACGACACGACACGACCAACGACACGACACGACCAACGACACGACCAACGACACGACCAACGACACGACCAACGACACGACCAACGACACGACCAACGACA